TAGAAGGCGAACGAAGGAGGGCGGACACAGGTGGGAAGCAAGACGTTCAGTGAGGCAGATTAGGGGAAGGGGGAGGCTGGGAGGGAAGTTGGATTCAGGTTAAGAAGCAGAGGGAGGTGGAGAGGGATGCAGAGAGAGGCGAGAAGGAAGCGATGAGGTCTGTGACATGAGCAACCAATGTCGTCGATGACGTAATGAAGCGACAGAGGTGAAGGAAAGAGGACTTCAAGCGTGAGGGACAGTGTAAGCAATGTGGTGCAAGAACTTTGGCAGAGGATTTGAAGTGAGCAACGAAACTGCTTGATCACTGCCTCTAGGGTGCGGCTCACCGACGTCTCCGCAGGATACAGACTAACGTGACTAATTCACTCTTTTCAAGACCCGTGATCTACAAGTCCTAGAATTCCTCGACTTCCTAACTCTGCCATTCTTAAGGTCTTCACATCCACGAGATCAGATGTGCGCTAGGCAGTCACAGTGTCTTTACAAGTAAAAAACGTTACACTTCCATATTTAGTAGGATCTAAGAAGTACTTACTTTCAGAAGCTGGTGGTTAGGAATTTGTCTATTGTGATTTCTTTGAGCCGCTACATCATTTTCCAATAACATTTTTATTGAATGTGAAAAGCCACAGAATTTGTATTTTTTTAATGTGATCTTTGTTGCTAACCGCCGAACAAAACAAACGAAATGTCATGAAAAAGTATTTTTTCTCTAAAGATTTCAAGTTCATTGGTGTGAGACATTCATCAGTTACATAGTTATCCGAGAAACTTTCTTTTGCAGAATCCATTCAAACATTGCGATTCCAATCGAATTCCAGCGAAATCAAATGAAGGTTTCCCTTTCATCAAACGCGTTACTCTCGCTAAATCCTGCACGAGCGTATCAGAAGTGAACCAAACCTTTTAGAACGAAATAAATCGCTTCGCGCAGCTTGGAATGCGTCGAGCAGAGAGTGCCCATGGAAACGAAAGCGGTATGCCACCGGTGGCTTCTGGCGGTAGTTTGCACGTCAGGAATTCCGCGCCGAAAGAAACGGGCATACCACTGTTGCATTTTTCGCGGTTTTGGAAAGAAACATTTGGAGTAATAAAGAGCTTTAATTCACCCGACAACTATTTGCCTCCGCAACTTAGGCGTGCTTTGTATTCCGCAAAAAAAAAATTGTGATGAAAATAATTCAAGCTCTGATTACTGTTGGTAACGGAGCTCAACTTATTTACGTAGAAAAACGCAGTAATAGAACGCCCTCCTTTCAAATTCAAACAAAAAATACTTAACCACCTAGACGCAAGGCATCGAGTCCGTACCTGAAACAAAACAAAAAAAGAGTTAAGAATACGATGCAATAATAATAAAAACCTACAAACTTAACATTTCATCATAAAATTTTATTATGTACTCGTAAATGAGGGATAAGATAATGATAAATTCGATTACGTATGTAATTATGAAACCATGTTCTTATCTAAGAAGAAACCGTAGAACCAAATTGAAGGTGTAAGAAACAACTTTCTAATATATTATTTACAATACCATTAAATGATTTTCGGAACATGAAATACACATTTTGCTATTTTATGAAGTACAGTTAAAATCAAAATTAATGTTAATACCAATAAACAAGGCGTGGATTCAATGAGAATGCTCCGTCCGTAATACAGCTTCGTTAGTAACCGTAAAGACATCTAATCCAGATTGCCGACACCAAATCACTCTAAAGGAGTTTCGAGCGTTACGAACCGTCGAAAAACTTCTACAGCGACAGCTAAGCAGCGCCATCATAACCATCTTGCCATTCACCTCTCCCACCCTATGACCTCGGAAAATCATCACAGGCATCGTCTGCCACGAAAACCCGAGCCCGAGTGCTTAGAGACCAGCCACCACTAGCGCCAATCAAGGAGCACGCCCCCACTACCCAAGCCAGCGTCCTCAACCGCGCTGCTCCCTCTGACGTGGTCATCGTACAGCCACCACCGACAGCCCCGCCCACCTCTGATGCGGCGGCCGCCGTCGCCGCGTCCTCGTCCCCTTGCCCTCGGGCGCTGAGGACGGGGCCCAGCGCACATCGGAGGCCCTCGGGCGCCCCCCCCCTCCGCCCTCCCACCAAACCCCACAACTCCTCAGGCGCCCCGGCAACTTGGCGAGAAGGGAACAGAGGATTATCGGTTACGGTGTCCCTGAACGCTTGCAGCGCCCGCGCGGCATGTATTGTTAAAGCGTTCCCTCCGACCTAAGTTGCGGTAAGCGACACAACAACAGAGAGCGCGCGCTCGGCGGCGGTGTCGCACGGCGGTAGGGTTGGGGAGGTGGCGAGGGCGGCACAAAGGGGACGGGGAGGGGAGCGAACAAGCGAGA